ATAAATAAAAATTTTAAAAAGACTAAATCCATGCATCACCCCGTCAGTCTGAACTTGACACCAAGAGTGGAGAACAGAGGCAGTGCTTGGAAAACAGAAAAATTGTTGGAACTATTGCATGTGGATGTCCTATGTATGTGGAACTGTGTAGATTACACCTATGGGTTGGTGTGTGTGTGTGTGTGTGTGTGTGTGTGTGTGTGTGTGTGTGTGTGTGTTATGATGAAAAGCTTCTTGCAGCAATTTCCTAGGAAACTTAATTTTCTTGAAGGCAAAATTCTTATAAGTAATTGGAACATGGATACCTGATGACATGACTCCAACCCATAGTGGCATGATGGAGATGTTGTAATGGTGCTAGAGAAGAACATCTTGTCCTCATCTCCTGCCCTCTCTTTGTGGGTCATCATACGCTGGCACACAGCTTCCCCCAACAACTCCCGGACCTGCTTTCTCAACCAAGCTCATTTCTTTCCTTTCTCTGAGCTTCTTTGTCATAATTCTCAGAACACAGAAGCAACAAGCAAGGCTCTGTCATCTCATGAGTCACACTTTTCAAATTCTACTTAATCAGTTTGCTGATTGGCACATCCAGAAGGTAGCTAGGTGAATACAATTTTCCCAAAATCTTGATGTGGGTGTGCTACTGCTTGGATACATTTGTACAAGCAAGAGACTCAAATTCCATTGACTTCCCATTTAGACAGAAAACTATCATCAAGTCATTTAGTGGTAAAACAATTACATTTTGTAAAAGGTGCTGCCAACTGACAAGCAAAACTAAGGGCATTGGGAATCTTGATCTCCAATTTATGAAGAATGGGCTTCAAGAAGAAATGGGACAAATTAAGAAGCTGGATCTTGAATGGATTTAGAGTTAAGTAGCTAAGGGTTGATACAAGCTACAGCAAAATAATCTTTGCTAGAATGGTGTGTCTAATCACAGGGCCTGCTTCAGGGAAAATATTTGGGTTGAACATCCAGAAAGAATGAAGAAAGGATAGGAAAAAGAGTCCAGGAAACTAGTCCAGAAATGAAAGAGGTAACAACACTAGAGTTGAGGTCAGGGCTGTTGGCATCTTGGAAGGTAAAATTTTAGGTTGCTGGATGTGCCTTAGGAAGGCATGAAGCAAAGGGAACTGTTCTGATAAGAGAACATCAGAAGGGTGTAGGCGGAAAGAGAGTGGACTGGAGAGAGCTACAGAACACCTAAATGTAATTCCAACCACACAAAGGAAGCAACACATGCATGGAAAAGGCCTCATACACCATATACATACTAACTCCATGGCGAGAAATCACAATGAGATTCTGGGTCATAACGCCATAAATGGGTTACTGATTTATATTAGTCATTTGCTTTTAGATTAGGGAAGAAATGCAAGTATATAGGTTTGCATGAGGAAAACTTCATTAATTAAAAATAATTTCTCAGTTGTAATACTCACTGTGTTTGGCAAAGGAGGAAGACTACTTAATTATAATTATTATTCAGAAATAAATATAGCAGTCTGCATCCCAGAATGAAGCTATAAAATGTAAAGAGAAGGAAGCTGCTGGCTTACAGCAGGCAGTAAATTCATTCCAGGGAAAACCAAAGCATATTTAACAAACATGAATAGAACAAGGCTTCCGGGCAAAGGAGTCTTGTGCTTGCCAAAGGTTCCAGGATGCAAGATAAAAGGCAAACAACTTTTAGATGCCTGACATTCTTTTTCCTTTTTCTTCACCCCCTACCCTCAAATCCAGGGACAAAAATATTAGTGATATGTCCCTGGTAACCTTACCTTTGAACTGTAATTTGAGCTAATAAGCGGGCCAGTTTTTCTTGCACCTGCCATTCTACTGAGAGTTTGTTTTCCTCATTGATTTTGCCACTTAATATTTGATTTCGTTGTTTGCCATTAAAATCAACTAACCGTTACCACACAGTGGCTGTGCATCAGACACTGTGAAGTCCTCTCGGAGATACAGAGATGAATAGTATACCATTAGTGAAACTCACTTATTCATTTACTCAATTAACCTTTATTTTTGAAGGTTGGGTACTATTCTAAATACTTAATATCAGAGTTATAGTACAGACAAGAGAAGTCTCTGAAACAAGAAGTTAGCAATCAAGTGACACAAGTGTGCAATTTCACACCCTAAGAAGACAACTGAATGCATACGTAACACGATAGAGAATGTAAGCAGCTAACAGAGAGTAGAAGCAGAGAAATGTGGCTAACAAGAAAGGATGGATGGACAAAGGATGGCCCCACTGTTCAAATTGAGTTTTAAAATGGGACCAAAAAAGAAGTGATGTAAGGAGTCATGAATCAGGCTTTTGTACAAATCTCATTCCTTAGTGAGACGCCATGGTTTAAAGATTCTTATTATTCCTTTTGCACGTGGCTCTCAGTCACTACAGAACTAAACACAGATTTGAATGAATAGCTGAGTTATTATTTATTAGAAGAGTTACATACCAGCATTTTAGGAAGCACTCAAATATCATTCTAATAACTACCTTTAATCATAGCCTCATGGGGCTGCCATTTTGGCACAGCAGATTAATCCACCTCTGTTAATGCTGGCACCCCATAACCACTCAAGTCCTAGCTGCCCTGCTGCCAATCCTGCTTCTTGCTAAAGGCAACAGATGTTAACTCAATGCTTGGCCACCCAAGCGAGAGACTCACATGGAGCTCCTGGCTCTCAACTTCAGGCTGACCCACCCTGCAAGTTACAGCCATTTGGAGAGCAAATCAGTGGATGAAAGATTTCTCCCCCGCAACCTCTTTCTCTCTCTCTATCCCACTCAAATAAATAAATAAATAGATTTTTAAAAATAGCCTTATATTTCCATGAGGCATTTTGTTGTAAAGCTATCTCAGAAATATGCCGTTACTTATCATAGATCTTGATGAATAGAAGACAGTAACTCGGATGGGCACTTACTCATTTAAACTGTAACTTACACTTAACAAAGCATGAAAGGCAGAACATTTAGGGGGCAAAATGCATCTAGCTGGAGGCGCTCAGTCCACAGACTTGAATTCTAATATGAACTTTGCACTGACAGATTGAATTGGAGCAGAGTTAGGAGCTGAACTTGATGGAGTTAGTCTATGGGCTGCATTTCCCCATCTGAAAAATGAGTAGGGAGTCAGTGCACCTTGTAGCCCTTAGAGGTGGTGCCAAGGAATAGATGAAATCATGGCTATTAAGGTGAGTCATACATTTTAAAGTACTAATATATGTACAATTATATTTATTTATTATTTTTTGCAGCTCAAGAGCCTCCTGGTTTTCTCCCTGATGATTTCTGCAAACTTTTCATTAGAGTGCATGTACAACATTGTCTTACAGTGTAATACCTCTATAAAGTTACTCACAAACTTCCTATGCTTAAAAAGAAAGGGTTTAGGGGCCAGCACAGTGGCTCAGAGTCAGCATCCCATAAGATAAGACTATAAAGAAACATTATGCTCCATTCTGTCACTACAACGATGAAGTTGGTAGGTGTGCACAGGCTAATCAGTGAGGTTGAGCATAGGGTTGGTGGACCAAAAAGAATGATGAATTTGTAATACACATGCTTAAAAATGCAGGCAGTAATGGTGAACATAAAGATTAGGAATCACCCAAGATATGTCATCTTACCTACACAATTTCATGGTTGGATTAACCCTTCCATGAGCTCTCTGTGCCACGTTAAGATAATCCTTACTGAAAAGGAACAAGTTGTCCTTAAACCAGAGGAGGAAGTGGAACCAAAAAAAAAAAAAAAATCTCAGAAAAAAATGCTGAAGAAACAAAAGAGCTTATGGCTTGGAAATAAATTCAGTTTAAATAAATGCAAATTACAAGGAAAAAATAAAGTTTAACTTTTATTTCTTCTCAATGTCTTTCACCTATTTAGTAACAAATCCTACCACTTTGTTAAACTCTGTAAGTCATAGCTTTAATCTATTGTATTTATCAAGCCATTAATCATTGACTATGTGATCTGCACCTGGTCTTTCCAAGCGATGACAGCGATAGAAATATGAGTGTGACATAATCTGAGTAACTTTGCAGACCCTACATTCCGTGTTCCAGCAGCAGTTTTTACTGTGCAATGTAATGACTGAGCTGCTGGTCTTCACTTCAGGGATCATGCTGGTGTCCAGGCTCACAGCTCATCTTCTCCTGGAAGAAACGTGCATTTGATTCTGGTCTTTTGAAGTTCGATCCAAATAGCTGGACCATCACCTGTCAGCCTTGAGCAAAACAACATCGTATAAAAAAAAGCCTGAATGATGCCTGAAACACCCAATAAAGAGTTCTCTAGGTCCCAAGAGTTCCAGAGATGGTCAAAGAGTCCTTTGTGGAAAAGAAAGTGTCCAGAAATGGAAGCTAGAAGCTATGGAGACACAGACCATCCAGTGGGAGGAAGATATCAGAATAGTCAATGTCTAAAGAAAAGAGGTCAAGTCAGCTTGGTAAAGCAGGGTGAATAGTGATTTTCTGTTTGAATAAGGAGCTGAATCATATTGCTTTTCAGTCAGTCTAATTTTATACTTCAATCTGTTTTGGCTTCATAATATTTTCCTCCAGCACTCCTACTCTTAGTAAAGAACTTTTTGAGAACTGAGAGATGGAAACAGTGAGCTTATTCATTATGTATCAAATGCATATTGTGAGATCTACTGTTTGCAATCCTTACCTTAATCATTAAGGTCAAAGGCATGCCAGCCCACAAAGACTTGTTCATGCACCATGTTTGCCTTGGAACCAGCAGAGGCATCAGGGTAAAGGAAAAATACTCAGATATAGTTCAAGAAAATTGATAGTTATGATTACATAAATGTCCTCCCCCCCCCCGAATGGATCCGGATCAGATTAACTGCCCCAGAGACCATTTTCATGGCAATAACTTAAACATCTAGGACTATATAAACTGCCTTTAGAAAATACACGGGGTATTGGACGTTCTACTATGCATGCACCTGTATGGGGCCTGAGAGAGAGACAACATGAAATACCTTGTAAGTAGATTCCATAATTAGTAGTGTGAGGGACAGTTCTCATAGTCAGACTTCAAGTAACAGTTCTCTTTCTTCCCAGCAACTCTCCAAATCAAACCCAAATAGAATTTTCAAATATTGCTTTGGCAGAGAACCCCTCTGTTGGCAAGGCTCTGTTTTACAGCATCAGGTAAAGGGTCTTTTCCAAAGAAACTAATAATTTCTTAAGGATCTAGAATCTATGGGGATTGGACGGATATTCATATTTTATGGTGATCTCTTCATAAATTTTTCTTGTTAACAGCTGTCAGTGAAGGGAACTTGCAGATGTACTTAATGCAAGATACCATTTCCTCTAACAATTCAATAAAACTTTGTCCCTTTGCTATCTCTTTCTCACCTCATATATCTCATTTTTGGAACCATGGTTGCTGTTCACACAGTAGCTGTTTCCTTCTGTTTTGAAGATGACGCTCTGCTTGCATTGCTGTCAATGCATGTGGACTATTGCATGGAGTATCATAGCGTTGAGGCAAAGGGGAAGTTCCTGTCAGTTCTGGCTTATATAGCTTACGTTGTGAGCACATGTGAGTTAGATGAGGCACAGAGAGACCAGAGAGAGAACTGTGGAGCCTGGGGAGAGTTTCATCAGTGTGTTTGTTACTGTAATCTGTTCCCACTCACGTATCAAGTCTCTTTGACTTCTTCTGTGATACCTGAAAGTCCTTCAGCAGGCAAGCTAGACCACACAGAGAGAAAAAAGTGTTGAATCACAAATGCTTCAAGATCTAGTTCCACTGTGTACAAACTACTTCAAAGGAAAGGATAGATAAGTGATGCATGGTCTTCCACTCTTTGGTAAAGTGGGAAACTCTACAGAAAAATCAAGCAGAAGAACCTGGAAGGAATCAGTTTCCTGAAGGACTGGGAGAGGGCCCCAGTAACTGGATGGAAAGAAGAAGATGCAGAAAAAGAAGAGACTCTGAGTCATTGCCTGCTCTGTAAGGTGGCTTAGCCCAGTCTTTGTCTATGTGCATATCCAGCAATTCATCTGTTTGCCTACTATTTAGCGTGATGACTACCAGTAAACATGGTCCAAAACAGAAGATACCCTTGAGTGGAGATCACAATTTCTCCTTGGAAAATTCAGAATGCTCCGTATTAACCACACAGACTGACAGTCTCCTGTATACATTAGGTCCCCGAGAGCATAGGAAATAAGGAAAACTGTAGATAATTTTATGAATATTGTAGCCCCAGTGGGAATTTTGATCCCAGTGTTATCTTCACAAGTGAAAAAAATGCACCAATGTTTATTTTCATTTCAGATTTCACCTTCCATCATTGTGAGCTTCTTTCTAACTCCGTGTCTGGCTCTGTTGGTGAGTTCAGGTGGAGTGAGTCTAATCCCTTTAGTCCTCCTTTAGCTGAAGTAGTTGAAAAGTGACAATCAAGGGTGGTTTTCCTCAGATCTCTTGTGGGTGCTCCTTCAGCAGGTACTGGCAGAGTGGAGACAACTCTAACTATCGCTTGGTTTTCTACAGAACATCAGTGACAGCCATCCTCTGGATGGATCTGTTGGGTCCCAAATCATCCATGTCAATGCCCTCAGAGGTATGGTCAGCATCCGAGACAATAATGTTTTGAGCGAATGGGATGGAATCTTGGACTACACACATGTAAGCTGTCAAACCCACATATTATAATGCCAAAGAAAGCCTTATCTGTTTCAAAATATAACCTTAAGAATTTTTAGAGGCAGGTGGTTAGTATGCATTTGCCTTTGGCCCTAGAAGGGAATGCATGTCTCTAGCGTAAGGACCAGTTATCCTGCAGGTGCAGTGACTTTTTCTTGAGTGAAAGAATAGAGGAGAAAATGTTTCTGGCCTGTAGGAATCCCACATCATTTGGCGTTCCTGTCAAATATTGACCAATGATGGTCACCAAATTAACATGGCTGTTTAAAGAGTTCCTGTTTCTTGTAACTATAATGTGATACAGGAGTGATTTTGATGGGACTTCAGCTTTTGGTGTTTATTTCCAAAGGAGAATAATATATTTTCATTTTCAGAAGTCTGACTGTAACTTGTGCATCTCTGTAAGTAGTAGTAAGACTAGCAGAACAACAGAAGACCAGGGAGGGGCCCTGGTGCCTTTGGTCTGGTTCTCTGTGTGCCTCAATTCCCTCATCAACAGCTGCCTTTCCTGCCTGGAAGAACCCTCAGGGATTAAGTAAACTAAAAGCTCACAACTTCTCATTCTGTCTCAGAGGGCCCTTGGGCACCAATTTCCAACTAGTTGCAAACTCGTACCCTTCCATACATCCATATGGGACATCTCAGGACAAACAGACTTTGTTATGCCACCTGCATCTGCCAAGATCTCCTACCTGAATACTGCCCTCTCCCTTCACCTAACCCAACCTGATGTCCTATGGCCACATTCCCTGAATCCTCCAGAGGGCTCACAGTCCAGTGAGTTCCAACTTGATTTTCAAAAGTGAAAATTCTCTGCCAAACAAAAATATTTCACATTAATCCACCGCATGGAAAAGAGGATATCTGAGTTACTCCAGCTAGAGAACGGAGTAGCAGAAGTGGCTCAGTCAGACCTGGCTTGAAAGCAGCTGCTCTGAACCAAGCTCAGACAACCCAAAATGAGAGGCCTCAGACCACCTGGAGGCTGTGGTCCATGCCAGACTAGATCTGAATCTAAAGGTCCCAGCTCAGGGCTGCCCCCAGCCCTACACAATCAGAATGTACTCTGTAACTTGTACAACACTCCCAGTAGCAGTTAGGTTCTCCCCTCATCCTCTTATTGCCATATGCTCTGTGACAGAAAGACCTTTATTCCTACATGTGGAGGCCCCAAAGGCCATGATAGTTGCTCAGCTGCAGAATCTGCCCTTGAAGTTAGCCATATTACAGAGCTCGTTCCATACTTCCCCAGGGCCATGTGTCTGTCAGGTGCAGAGGACCATGGGGGGTCCATCCCATGCCCATCAGTGGGACAGTGCTGTAGGGTTCTGTAAGATTGCCAGTCCTGGCGTTGACCTTTTCTCCAGAGCAGTACTAGACTCAGACACTGTATATTACAGTCAGAAAAACAGCTGTGTGCCATCCCCTGACTAAATGACATGTTTCTACTATGTTGCTTTAAGGCCCTTTTGGCAGCTAAACTATTTAGCAAGATGGCTTGCGTCCTGGCCAGGATGGACCAAACAGTCTTCCCAAGCTTGGCTGATGTTAGCAAGGCCCTGGACAAGCAGGTAAGTGAGACCAGCTCACTGTGGCCCCTTCTAGTTTCACGTTTCCTGATCCAACCTCCTGAGACAGTTCTGTGTACACAGGGGATCTACGTCATGCTTCTTCTCTTAACAGATTTTTACTTATATGTTTTATTTACTTGAAAGACAGACAGACATATGTCTCTCATATTCTGAGTCATTCCCCAGATGCCAACAGCAGCCAATTTGGTCCAGCCCAAAGTCAGGAGTCAAGAATTCAATCCAAGTCTCCCACATCTCAGGGACCCAAAGCACTTGATCCACTACCTGTTACCTTCAAGGCACACGCTATAAGGAGCTAGAGCAAGGAGCAGAACCAGAACTTGACCCCTGGCCTCTGATATGGGATACAGATGTTCCATGTGGCATCCTAACCACAGTGCCCAATGCCTACCCTCATGCTGATTCTTAATAGCCGAGACATTCTACTGTCACGCAAAGGATTCCAAGTCAGGTGCATGGCCCATTCAAGTCAATCCACAGTTCAAACAATGAAAATTCTATGCAGTTATCTCCTTTTGATTTATTCTAGGAGGATCCAAACTCTATATAGCGACTTAAGTTGCTGAATATAAATGTTACAATCAATTGAGTATTAGCATGTTCCCTTCCAGCGATGTATACACATATAATCTTTAGATGAAAATAAGTAGAGTGCTGATGAGGCTGTCTTCCCTTTCGGGTTTGGATAACATGGGTAGTCTAGTACACTAAAACTCACAGGAATTGGCTAGGAGTTGAAATCTACTATCATTGGCTTAGGTAATGTAAACTGGCACATTTGGGTGACTTACATGTTGGTAGCATGAGTGTTTAATAACACTAGAGAGAAAAAGCACAGTTTGGACACACAAAAAATGTATCAATTTTGGTGGGGAAAAATGAGAAGTTGGAAGTATCCTACTTTCCACTTGAACAAGTAAAACCACTAATGCAACAAATGGTGTCTCAGCTATTCTAAATTATCTCTACGGAGGAAAAAAGCACTGAAGTCTGGCCCAGAGGTGTAGTAAAAGGGGTGAAAGAAACAGACAAGTCTCACTGGCATGCAGACCAATTTTCCTGGAGTAATGTCGTCACCTGGTGGCCAGAGAGGATATTGCTACTAGAGATAGAACTCCAGGGCAAGTTTGGGTTTGCGGCTGTGGTTTCAGTTTAGCTGTCACACGTCTCGTCACCACTACCGAGGAAATCGTTTCTTCCTCTTCCGGCATCCCCTCTCAGATCAGGCTCATCATTCTGCTGCTGCCCTATGTCTTCCAGGCTCTGGAGCATTACCCGTCCACCCACGGCTTGACCTACACTGTCTTACCAAACCGGGTCAAGAACTTAGACCAGTACGGAGAGACCATCAAGGACATGTGCAGAGATGTCCCCACCTATTTTGCCCAGCAACAAAAAGAAGGTGTGTTAGCAGTGCATCTAGAAACTCTAGACCAATGGCCAATTTTAATGTTGGTGCATTCCATTTCTTTGCCCCGGATATAAAAATATGTGTCCCAGGACATGCTCCCCCTGGTGGCAGAGATGATTTCCCGACACCAAAATTCACTGAGTATGGAGAGCAGAGTCAGCTTATCTCATTGTTGGGATTTGATGGTTGGTGGATACCCTTCTCCGGCCCAAATATGCATCACTTTCTGCCCAAGCAGTGTCACGTCAAGCATCCCACCATTGAGTCCCGTTGCTTTGAACGCTTCAGTCCTCTTTTCAAGGTCCTAATAAGGAACACCTCAGTGCCCAACATTCCTGCTGGGGACATGATAGGGAATTGCTAATGAACAACTTGGAAAGCAACAAGATAAGACGTCTTGACCTGGCTGGTAATCTGCATGGGATCAACAACTTATCATCAGCCTGGTTTCTGTCATTTACCCTTTAAAATAAGTTAGTCCAAGAAGAATGTATTTTCATATTAGGAGGATCCAGTAGGAAGGCTTGAGGAGCTGAAAGATTAAGGAAGAAGATTCAGGCTCAGTAGAACAGGTGGGTCAAGTCGTTGCAGCGATAGGGAAGGTGGAGTGAGTTGGATCTTCCATTTCAGCCCTACTGTCTCTTCCTAGTCAATCTGTTCTGGGTGCCGTATCTGATGTATGTGCAGCTTATAATGTATATATTTTACTTGAGGAATCTTGAATTGACCTTTTTGTAAAATGCTTTTCTTTCTTCTTAAAGGTACTGCCCTGGCAATTGACCCTGATTCCTGTTTCAATGTCCAGATTCTGCTCTTTATGGGACTCTCCATCTGTGGTGAGATCCCGGGGCTCTGAGCCTCCAGCTCCGCCACATGGAGTGTAGACCTGCCTGGCCTTCACCATTCAACCTGGGTCTGGCACCCAGGGGCCTGGCCCACCCTCTGCCTCCAGGAAGTTATCTACTTCAGTCCCCCACCTTCTACTCCTCTCTGCAATCTGGCAAAATGTATTTCCCCACACTCCCCAGGTTAGAACAATAAAGTTTCTTGTTTCACTGGTCTAGCAGTCCCCCTTGCTGTACTCCCTCCCTCTGCACTGCCAGCTGTTATACAATCTCCTGCAATCTGAGGCTGAGATTCCAGGATTTGATGGTCCAGTCTGCGCTTGGCAAACCCCTGAGCCACTTCCAAGCAAATCTCCCCCTGAAACTTGTCTAATCTCATCAAGGAAACTCCCAAGCATTTCTCTCTCACACAAATTCCTAAGAAACCTGGATTCTTAGTCCCCTTTCTTTAACTGTCCTTTCCTTTAGCTCAGATGGGCATATCCATGTCCACCTACACCATGCACAACATCCCTGATTTTCTCTATTTGAAGAACAAGAATAAACAGTGTTGAAGATACACACACAAATGTTCATTGTGGGAATGTTGGCATTTACAGCACTTTAAATTAAGGCAAGCCTGGGTGCAGGACCTGTGGTATTGTATGGCATGTGTACATGGAGCAGAAGTGTTTAGGTGTTAGGGCTGGGTGAGTGTCAGCTCCAGTCAGGAGTAGTATGGTGGTGCAATGTAGCTACCTATAGCCAGAAATGAAAAACAGATTATATAGGGAAGTCACCAGGTAAGTCTCTACTTGGGCTTAAAGAGGCTGAGCAAGCCCAGGGGTGCAGCTTGGTTCATACATGGCTTTTTGAGGATAAGGCGTGCAGAGTTAGGCCCATACCCGCATTCTGGGCAGCATTAGGAACAATATACTAAAAAGAACTGACACCAGTCGCTGAAAGGACCCCAAGGCCCACAATGGCTGAAACAGGGCCAAAGCAAAGCCATGGATTTAATCTAGGTCTCCCTTGTGGGTTGTAGGAACCCAATTAGTTGAGCCATCACTGCTGCCTTCTACAGGATGCTGGAACCAGGAGATGGAATTGGGTATCTAACCCAGCAACTCCAAATGGGATGCCAACATCTTAACCAACATCCCAGCCACCAAGCCATACTCCTGTCTCCAGTTGTGTTTTGAATTTTTAAATATATAAACATTTTGATGTATTTTAGGTTCACAACTCATTGTATTTTTCCATTATACTCTCTCATAGCCATCACTCAGATGGTTTAGAAAAGTCCCAATATACCAGAAAGTTATTTTATGCTACTCACAGGCAAGACACCACTCCAACCCCTAGACCAAAGGGAGTGGAAAGGATCAGTAACAGTATGTGCAGAGGAATTCTGAGCAAACATCAAGGACATCCTGGCAGGACTCTTGATATGGGAGTCACCCTCAGATGTTTGCTCAGAATTCCTCCACAGAATCTCAATCAATGCAGGGTGTCACATGGAAAGAGGGAGAACTCAAGTGTCTATGTTCTCTCTCTCTCTTTAAAAAGCTGCAACAATTCAAGCCTACGAATGCCAATCTCATCTCCAAGCACCACCATTGTATTATTAACTTTTACCGTCTTGATAACATTAACCTATGACTTGGGGGATTAAACTTGAGCAGTGTTAAGCGAGGCAAACCATATCCCAACCATAACATTCTCAGTGGAGGATTTCTGCAGTGTGAGTGAAAGGATGTGATGAGTCTGGGATTCTCAAAAGAGCTACAAGACAGAGAAAGGGAGGCGCAAGTACTGGGATGGGCACTGGCCCTGCAGAATGTGCACTCTCTGGGCTAATCCCAGATTTCTTCGAGTGTAGTTGTAAAGGACGCTTTGGACTGCAAATAAACCCAGTCACAATGACCTAAACACAAAGAGAATAGTCTGGGTCATGTGAACCCAAGGGGCAATGTCTTAGCCAGTGCAGCTGTGGAGTGATGCAATCAAGCATTCTCGCTCATTCTTTTTCCATAACCTTCCTGTCTCCAGGACTGTTACCTCAGAATCCCAAAACAACTGACATTAGCATTACATCCCCCTTAGAGGAGAGATATAGGACAGTGTAAAGGGCAGAGTTACATGTGTTTTCCTGGAAGCCTCACTTAACAGCTCTGCTTAACACAACTCATTGGCCTGAACTGAGGTCATATGACCTCCCACAGACCTACAGCAACCAACAGCTCCATGAACACGACCGGAGAGGGAAGCCACATGTAATTGAGAAAATAAAAACTGAGAGATGCAATATAAAAATAAGAAAAGTAGGGCAGCTAGAGGGAAGCCCCCTTCTCTAAGAAAGAAGGTCAAAGCAGAAGGCTTGCTGCCTCGATCTTTTATTGAACTGCTTGGGGGGCCAAATTACAGGAATTGATGTAGCACAAACATTAATAGTTACATCCCATCTTGACGTTAACCAGTCAATGCTTGATGATCAGGAAGCAACAGTGTGACCCAAATACAGAAGCCAGTACGTGACTGTCTCAAGGATATCCTTAAAACATGCGGTTCTGTGGCCTTGGACAATTGCCCAACTGTGGATCCTGGTCCACAGCCCTCTCGACTTTGGTCTTCGACTCTTGCCTGCAGAGTTTGACCCTGGCCTCCAGCACCAACAGTCTGTGAACTCAAGACTCCAGGCACAGTTTGCCCTGCTATTCTTCATCAAGTCATACTGGTGGGGTTTTTTTTTTTTTTTATCTGTTTTATTTTGTTTTTAAATGAACTGCCTGCAGCAAGACTAATCCATTATTAAATTATTTTCTTAAGACACTCAAGATTTAGCTCAGGCTTTCTCAGCCTTGGTATTCTTTGAAGCAGAAAATTCTTCGTCATAGGGGACTGTCTTATGATTCATAGGATGCTTGTCAGAATCTTTGATATCTACCACTGGTTTCAAATAGCATCCTGTCCAGCTGTGTCAATCTAAAATGTCTGCAGACACCAATAAAAATATCTCCAAAAATCTTGAGGGAAGGGAGAAACATCACATCTTCATTGAAGGTCACTGATTCAAATAAATCGCATTTATCACTTAAAACTAAAGAAATGTAGTCCCTAAAGTGAAGCAGGTTTTAGCTACTACCTAAATAATTCAGCAGGAAAGGGGAAGACTGGAAGTGGGAAATCAGAGGACAGCTTTTGCTACTGTGCATGGACAACAGGCGAGTGAGGATTTCTTTCCAGGATCATAGCCCTTTTCATTCCTGCCAGTGTTGGGTCATTCCTGTGCCTTCAATTCATCATTTTTTAAATATTTTATTGATTTTAGTTATCATGATAGGAGGGTCCACCTGATATCAACTACCTCACCATTAACAGAAGCTGCAAATCTATTATTTTATTAGCTTACCTATATATATATACTGCATTGGGGTTCATTAATGCTTTAGCTCATTCACTAAGCAGTTATACAATAGGAAATTGTATGCTATCCTCATATCTGAATCCTGGGAGTTCTAAATGAAGGAACTGTACTTGCATCTAATTTTACCTTGGTTGAACAAATAATCCTACATGGCATGTGAGAAGCCATTTATTGTGAGAAACAAGACTTTACAGGAAATAAAAATCCATCTGCAAGTCTCACTAAAATCCCTGCCACAGCTCCTTTGGCACGCTCATACCCTGCACACTGGCTGAAGTTGCTGGCCAGCCCAGGTACCTGACCAGATCTTCTGCCTTCTAGATGCTTTTTGTGTTCAGTTCAAGCTTGCTTCAACAACCTGACAGTTCAAGTGGTTTATGGCCTAAGCATTCAAAGAGTAAGTAGAATTAATATCTTTATTCCTCTACTCCAAAGAAGGGACTATTTATGAAGAAAATGCAAGAGTCCCAGCTCCCTTGTAGCTTCTATTTAGACACTTTACCCTTAGGCATATGCCTAGTACACTGTACTCACTGCTCCTAATAGGTACTTCTCATGGTACATGAGAGAATTAACTGATTTAGAAACTGCAAATCTCAACATTCTGCTTTTAACCATGAAGCAATAATATAAAATTTTAGTGAGAATAACACATCTCTAAGCAACAGATTTTAGAGAAGATTGCCAGTAGGAACACTTGTTGGGGATCTGCCCACCAAAACCCTATCTTCCATCCGAGCCATGGGAATAAGGATATGCCTCACATGAGCCAATTGGAGCCATTTCCAGATATTTATCATATAAAACTCATTTTAAATTAGAATCATAAGATGGTGAAGTTGGGAAGATGATGACTTTGGTGTTGAAAGAGGTTTTGGTTTCAAACTCATGAGGAAAACATATGTAGCACATTGAGATTGATACAGTGGAAGAGTTAAGATATGGAGACGGAGTCTAGTCGATTTCAAGTACCTAGTTTCAGGTACTCAAAGTAGAATATCCCTTTCCCTCCATGACTTATTATATGGATCACTGAATTCCCCATTGGCCTCAGCACATTTGATTTGGATTCAATCAACACTTTATTATATACTCTTTACTGTTGTTATCTGTTAATTTCATGCAATGCCTTGTTTTCCCATTGAGACGACAACTTCATCCACTATGGTAACCTTGATGTAAGCCTTTTTCTTTAGCAATTCTATCTCAGTGCTGAGTAATGGCAAGTGCTTGAAATAATATTAGTGAGGGCTATTCAGAAGTATATGTTACAGTTTTGGAGTAGGAGTGGTCGATGGCAGATGAAAATTCTTGTGAATATGTCCCTCTCTCAACCACTCAGGGCCCACCAGAAACCCAGTGCTATCAGGACTTCTTTTTTTTCATCATGTAATTCATTTGAAATCTTAGAAACTGCTTTCCTGGGCCTGGTGTGACAGCCTAGTGGTTAAATCTTTGCTTTGCATGCCTTGGCATCCCATGTGGGCACCAGTATGCTTCCTAGCTGTTCCACTTCCTATCCAGCTCCCTGCTTGAGGCCTGGGGCAGCAGTTGAAGATGGCCTGAAGCCTTGGAATCCTGCACCCACGTGGGAAACCCCAGGGA